CAACTATACGAAAATGCACAACTTTCAATCCCCATGAGGCTTTTTCTATAAAGACTTTATACTGCCAGGCTAGAAAGGGGTTGACTTTCTTTCCAGTTCGAAACGTTCGAAACTTTTATTAGCAAAGAAAACAAAACTCTGTAAATTTTCTACGGTGGTTAACTTCCCGTTACGTTTACTTTCCAAATTCAGATTTACGACGCAGACTTATTATTAAAAATTAGTCAACAATTTCTATATCTAAACAAAAGGGTTTAGATGCGTAAGAAGTTGAAAACAAGTCATAGAAAGAACCATAGGGACTAAATTCTCGATGTCAAAGTCGAGACCCGTTCATCATTCAATGTTCCTCGTTTCTCTCTGTTCCGTCGAGTTTTCCTGACCCTTGTCGGCCAAATATTTACGCCATTTTGCGAGCAACGACTGGCAACCACGAAATTTTTCATTCATTCACCGGGAGTTTGCGTGGAATAAGACTTTAGCCGCGAGGCAATTCAATTTACAGCACGAAAAGTTGAGAGGTAACTGACGTTATAAAATATTGCATTAAGTGGCAAACAAATTACTAATTACCTAATGCGTTGGAAATAATTCCATAAAGCAAGAAAACTACCCTCGTTCCTTGTACGAAGAAGGTGGAATTTCAACGGAAGGGTGCCCTATCCGATTTCACGAAACTTTCACCCTATAAGCTTACAGTCGTAACCCTGAAGAATCACGCTAATTTCATTACCTCGTGGAATCGTAGCCGCGAAATTCGTGGAGTTGCAGCGATCGGATCACGCGACACGCGGATTATTTCACGGCATCGCGATTCGTTTATTGCTTCCCCCCGAAAACGTTTATTGCTTTTATTGTTCCGCTGGTGCAAATGGAATCTGAGCTTTCATTGGCACACGACTATACGGAACGATCGTTATCGAGCGATTTAATTTCCCTGGTTACCGGTGCGCGACAAATTTTTGTTGGTTCCTCTCGATTATTCCACAGTTTTTCACGTAAACCGCGATTCGAACCGTGACGCGGATTAGTCTGGTTGAACACAATCGATGCACAAAATTCTAAGTGTTCCCCTAATTTGGAATAAAATTATACCGTTGTCGAACGGAAAAGTTGTTCAGTTTTTCGACAAGAAAAATAACGCTATAAAAGATACAGGTTTTATAAATTTCTTGGAAAATTCTGTCCGTAAAACGTGGAAATCCAGCATAAGTTTAACAACGCCTCGGGAAATGGTTGGACAGGTTTCTCGCTGTTCGGCAAACAACTTGGGCGAACTTTGAGTTGATCCACTTTGGTCACTCGGAAATGCAGAAATGCATTACCGAGTATTCAAGACGGATGCGAAGTGGAAAATTCATCTTTGGCTTTGAAAATTCCGGAAATGCAAGTTCCTCGATGGATTCCTGATATCCATTAGGAAAACATGCTTCCGTGAGAGAGGTCTGTATCTAAAGAAAATTTATAAGTTCCCGCAACTCCATTAGAAACATTCAATCAGAAAAATTACATCCCTTGATCTAGCTGGTTCAATCACTCATCACGAGATAGCTCGATGAAGGGTTGTAAAATCACGAAGGGTTCAACAGCCTCGATTCGAATGAGAAAAAACAACAAAACCTTTCAGAATATTAATAAACTCTCATCGTAGATCGAAATTCGCTCGAGAGATCTCATTCAGCGATCTCCGTGGCTAGGGGTTGGAAATCAATTAACCGGCAAGAAATTGGTCGTCCGGTAAAGGGTAGGTCTAGCCAGTCGGGCTAATTATTTAAATTATTCACACCGCTTGCATTAGACGCGTTCGATCGTGATCGCGCGCGACCGATCAAACGAATTTCTCGATCGTCTGAAATTTCGTCGTCGACGGTCGGCCTAAGGTTTCACCACGAGCTGCGTCAATATCGACCGGTTGCACCCTGGCTTCTCCGACGCGCACCCTTTCGTCCTCAGCCAACGGTGCACCCTCTTCACCCTCCGTCATTCGGGTAGCACGTACGCGAAGAGGGAAAACAACGAACGCGCACCGATGCACTGAAATATGCACGCTGAAGCGAGTCACTTCGGTGTGGATCAGGCTTTTACCATATTGCAGTTCAATCCTATGGGGAAAGATACTTTCACCTTTTTCCCCTGTCTACCGCATGTATATACGTCGCGGAAAATTGACAAATTAATGGCGACGGGTTGTAATGGACTCGGTATCAAGTTGCTACAAATGTACCTGATTCAACCCTTTCTTCAACCCTTGAACAGTGGAGTCTGGATCCCTTGTGTCTTGTGAAATACAAAATTAAATTAAAACTTGGGATCTCTCCATGGTCCGTCGTCGGAGGGTTAAATTGAACGCATGAAATAATACGAAGAGGAATCTGATCAGCTGATGCGAAACATTTGCATAATTTCTCGAGACCGAATCTACGTAATTTCGAAACCCCGATTTTGCCAGTAAAATAAATGGTTAATCGTGCGGAATAACGGGACGTCTTCTTCAAACAACCATTTCGAATCTCGCAATAAATGTCTCCCTCGAACGTTTAGCGGTTAGTCAAGTGTCACCCCATTCCAAGCTCGTCTTCCCTTCGTTGGATTCGAACAATCTCCTTAACCCAGAGACCCATCAACCACGACGCCTACATCTCGTGTCTCGTTAACGGTGACCCTGATATTCTCCGACGCCGAATCTCCCTTTAGTCTTGCTCTCAACGCCGATCCGTCACCGTGAGAAGGATCATTTCACGGGACTTGCTAATGGAACTCTATTCGTTGTAAAATCCTTTAGAACTAACTCGAAAAGAAAATCATATCAACCTTGAAAAGAACGTGAAACTACTTTAGAAATCAACTTGCAACAACGTTATTCGCATTCACAGATTGGCTGGAACATCAGAATCGTAGAATGACGCGAACGTTGACAAAAACAGCACGTGTTTTCAGCTGGTTTTTCGATTCTTTTGAATGCACGTTTTTTCCCCCCAAACGAACGCACGAAGAAAAGGGGTAGCGAGGGATAAAAATAAAGAAAGAAGAGAGGGTAGAGGATAGAGAGAGGAGGACAGAAATGGCTGGTAGGCTCTTCAGTTCGCGATATACGCAGAGAAGCGTATCGATCGTCGTTGCCTCCCATGGTTCTTTCTTGCTCGAGACAGACGAGGAGGTATACGGTAAACCCAACCCCTACAGTCTGTACGACGTTTTATCCTCTGTTTGCACCCGTTCCGTCCCACAGCCTCCATCACGGCCGTTTAATTCACCCTACCACCCTCGGGCGGTCTCTTCGTCTTTTCCCTGTTTAACTAGGAACAGGATCCGAAAAAGACTCGGCGAGAAAGAAAAAAAAACATTTCTATGACGTCTGGATCGGTCGATGCTGAAACGACGAAATCCGACGATCGACGTTTCTTACCCTGACGCGATATTAACTTTCAATAGAGGAAGCCACGAGCAACTTTTTCCCTAACTGTTCGATCGAGATATCCGGGAAGATCGAGAGGGTTAATTTTTGTAAATGTTCCTGTCGATGATTAAGGGTTTCTGTTTCGATAAAAAGAAAATAGAGACACAGATTTTCGGACTAGAATTTGCATGGAACGAAAAGGAATCTTTCCTCGAGGGACACGCGATATCCAAACATTGTATCGAGTTCTGAAATCCAACGGCTCGAGAACGCACCCCAATTGTTCACCCCCTTTCTCGTGCTTCTTATCTGACCATCAACCAGCCAAGGATATCGGGTTTCCTTTGTGGTTCAAAGAGAAGCCGGAAAACTACACTTATCATCCAGACGTGTAAACTGATGCGTTCGAATGGATTCGATCGTGAACAAATCCAATTCCACCCCTTTCTTCCGACGCGACGATTTTCTAATTTTCGCAGGATTCTTTTATCCCTAGCACCTGTTGCGATTCTTTAGTTTATTGCGATTTGCGAATCGTTCGAACGCTTTGATCGTCCGGTTGTTTGTTTAAAGAACCGTCACGAGCTGTGCGAAACGGTAACCGAACGGAGAACGTCGTCTAATTTGCATGTAACGCGTCGCGACGCCGAGGAACGTGATCGTTGCGCGTAGATTGCGCGATGCAATTTACTCGCTAGCGTGTTAGACAATATGCTGGCAAACATCTGCTACTAGCGACAAATATTCGCCAGCTCGTTAAATTGTTAATGTATCGCGTACAATGTTCTTCCTATGAATTTCCAAATTTTCCTCGCGAATTTCACGAATAATATCGTCCGTTAGCTGAATAAAATCAAATACGATAGTCATCGGTTATTAATCGAACGACGAGCACGATTTAACGTTGACAGAGTTATTGCGCGACTCGAATGGCCGAGGCGGAGATTCCGTGAGATATTTAAGCGGCTTCCATGCAAGACGACATACCATGATCATACTTGGGTAGCCCATTAATGCCGCCTCTAGCACGTGACTCCTGGTAATTAGGTCAACGCCTGTACCGGGCGCGATTCTACGCGTTCGTGTTAAATACTACGCGAACGAGAGTATAATTTCCCTTGTCTCTTTTGCAACCACACCACTCTGATACTTATCTTGCTAGAAAATTGCAGTTTTCTGGAAAACCTTGTGACAGCTTTATCCCAGAATCGATATTTCAAATCGTAGGCGATTATTGTATATCTCGGTACGTCGAAGAGGAGTATAATTCCAGTCTCGTGTCAAGGATAATTGCAAAAAGATACTATCATTTACTCCCTATTTTGTATTTCAGTGCATAGGCTTGAGATATTCGTAAGAATCTAAGATGTTTAATATTTATTATTGTTATACTGCAATTCTAGCAAAATATGAATGTAGCGGAAGCAACCGCGACAGAGAGTTTAGCTATTACTTATTCACCTGTTGAACTAAACGGATTCAATAACGTACGAGCTTCTACATAGCCGTTTATCTTTGTTCGATCAATTTGATAAATTCCTATCCGATCAACCATCACTATTACCGTCTTCCATAGAAGATTACATAGATGTTTGCATCTTACCTTGCGTGCTGCCGTTGGGTTGGCCAACCTGCGGCATCCCTGGGTAAAGGGGCGAGGGATGAGGCGAGGGTTGATTGCTGGGTGGTCCTGTAGAATGCGGATTGGCAGTCGTAGGGGTTGGCGTGGCCGATGGTACTTGCTGGGATTGTTGGGATTGCTGAACAGTACCAACAGACGTGGGTGTTGATGCAGGGGTACCGCCAGGCCCACTACCAACCCCGCCAACAACTGGTTGCTGTTGTTGTTGTTGTTGTTGTTGATGAGTTTGTTGCGGGGTAGGAGGTTTCTGACCATCGGGCGAGTCGTTCGTCGCATCTGAAACAGACCGACGTGCTCCTTTTTAGTTGAAATGTTAATCTACCCTGCAGCTGTTCGTCGAATAGTCTCTTAGATTCGTCTACCATTAGATTTTCGATTAGTTTGCTTTGGACAAACGCGTTCCGTGGATGTGAGTTAAATTAGGGGCTGTGTTCGACGCCAGAGAAAGGGGTTCTGTTTGCAGTTTAGGGGGCTTTGACGCTTTGTCTTCGTTATTCTGATGTAACAATGATTAATGATACTTGGCTGGGACTGAGATTAAGATGAAATTAAATGGATAAGTTAGAAAGGTGACGTCTCCAGGCAAAGCGATGGAAAATTAATGAAGGATATTAATTCATCTAGATGAAGAGTGGTTCTCTGATTGGAGATTTTTTCAAATAAAAATTGTATTCTTCAGAGACGTGCAATAATTGAAAAAGATATGAATCAAAATTTAATAGGAAGAGAAAATTTAATTACCTCTGAGAAAATTAATGAATATTGACGAATTACAGTGAATGAATTACTAGTAATACTCATTTGATAATTTCTCATTTGAATGTTTCATTTTAAAGTAAAACTATTTCCACGTCAGGAAACCACGAGAACATCGAATACCTCTATGGTTTTTGAACAACCCTTCCCGAAACGGTCCCGTTTATTCACGAGCAACAATTAATTAGAGATTTCGGTCTGTTCGAGCAGGGAAACACGGTGTTCCAAACTTGTACGAACCTCCCCGAGAAAGATGAATGATGGTAGAAGCTGTTGAAGAGGTTGGAAATCAATATCCGACAAAGTTCTTCGACAAGAAACACGTTCAACAGGCATTGTTGTGCCGACTGAAGAGAATCTATTAATCAACTCGAGTTTCATCAGAGGAATGTTTTGGACCCACTTTCGTAATTACATTCGAAAGTGTTTTGCGCGATGTTGTCTGGATAAAGAAATTTCAATAAAATCGAACTAAACTACTGAATTGATGTTTCAAAGTCAAAAGTCAATGTTTATTATCTAAAAAGAAAAAAAAAATCCTTGAACAGTGCCTGTCTTATCAGTTTCGTCGGTAACATCGACCATTACTTTATCTCCCAACGATAAAACAATCAGTGACTAAAGAGATCAATTTCTTTTCATTTTAATTGAAAATTAATGCATCACATTAATGCCGGTCACGATGAAATGAAATATCGTTAATGAAACGACGATGTTTTATTTTTGAAAAATGAACTGCACTATCGCGACACGAGATTACAGGGAACATGTTGTCCCATGGTGCCGGAAATTGAGTCCACGTCTGCACCATAACGAACAGGAAACCCAATTACATTCTTTAGCGATCCTGACGCGACGTGTCTTGCCGTCCGCGTCTCGTTTCAATCCGGAGACCGTGAACCCTTATTTCCTGATCAGGCGAAGGGTGGACAGTTTCCATCCATTGACGGAAATTTACGAATTTCATGGTTTACTACGTTTTGAAAAAAAGAAAAGAAAATGAAGTGAAAATATAATCTTAAAGCATCATGAAATTAGAACCCCTCCATAGTATTTTAATTAATATAACAGAGGTTTCTGGATTAATATTTCTCGTATGTGCGTATTTTAGTCAGAATGAAAAATCTTCCATTCGAACAAACAAAATCTCACCTAAACTTTGGCAATATTCAAAAGATTTCAAGTTTGCTTATAAATTATTCAAAGCGCAGGGAGAAACAAGCGAAGCAATGTTACTCGACTTCAGTATATCTGTCTATAAATCACGAACGACCATGGCAAGAATGATAACAGATGGCAAAATGGTAAAACTTACCATTTTCTGGAAACGACGTGGACCTTATCACGGGCAGCAGTATTCCTTTCTGTACCAGCTCGTCTCTGCTCGCTCGTACAGAGATTTTCCTCTCGAGCGCTGCAATCGCGATAAACGATCCCGGTTATCATTAGCAGGAATTAACTCCTTTAATAATTAAAATTTTTTAAAAAATGTACTTACACAAGGAGGCAGCTTCGAATTTATCCGATTTCTTTTTTCGTTTCCATTTCCAAGGCTTGAAGAGTCTACCGAGGGCTGAGAACTTGCTTTTCCTTTCGAGGGGTGGTGTTCTCGCCCCGGAGCCAAGACTATTCGTTCGCAGAGCCGCCCCATTTTGTTTCTTCGCTGCAAAACAAAGTGCCAAACATTGTTAATTACCTTTGAAACGATGGAATGAAAACGATTGCTGGTAAAACGAGGGTCTGTAATTTCAGTGGCTCGGTTATCGACTTGGGATACGTTTCTCGTCATTCCTCCCCGTTTTCGTGGAAAATGGAAGCCAGGAATTTCTACCTTACCGACGAGGGATGAAACTACCCCTAGAGAAAACGTTTACCACCCTCGCACACGGGGATCGATCGCTTTAACAAAACCAATTACCATGTAAATATGGTTATAGTTCATAGCGATGCTTTATTTGAAAACAAACTTTTTGCAACCAACACAATATCACGGGAAAATTGATAAAACGTATTAATCTTCAATAAATTCACACGCTTCGAATAACCTGAACTGTAAGAGAAAAAAAAAAATACATAGAATCTCGTTAAATTTGCCAAATTAAATACAATAAGGATGAAATGTTTAAAAGTCGATTGCATTCAAATGTTTCAATAAAGAAACACTTGTACAATGATAAAAAATTTGTATTGAAAAAGGAAAGAGCCATTTATATTTTCAAGAAAATATTTTCTTGAATTTTCTTCAAGATTCTATTGTATTTCATTCTTTGTCTTTGGCCAGGAAGAATCTTCTGAAAGCAAGCATGGAAGAAAAGTTCGTAATTTATGATGATAATATTATGAGAAACGACTTCCGTTGCAGCCGGAAGTGAAAATTATTGCCACAGGTTATTGCACCTTTCCGGTAGAAACAGGATTACAATCGGCGAACGAATATTCGTGGAAAATCCTATGGAATTTGGCCACCAGAGACCTGGCTCTTAATTCATTGTTAGACGGCCATGTCGATGTCACCATAAAATCAATACCCGACACCGTGGCCCCATAGATATTTAATGGCTGTCGTTTCTCGCCAAAGAAGAGCTCCCCTTAGGGACTTCAGGTGGGCTTCGAGAAGTTTTTGCAATCGCGTTAACGAGCTTCGATAACAAATCAAAACTGAACTACACTTTGTCAAAGAAACTGTGATTGATCGTACTTCGATGTCGCACACGTAATGGTATTTCGTGTTTTATCATTGTAAAAGTACAGCTTTGATGTATTCCGCTCTACTAACCGCTAATTAGTTTTGATAATAGGATCCTCTGTTAACGACTAATTAATCGGTAGGGCAATTAATTCATCGAGCCATTCGAGTTTCGCGCTTATGATATCTCTAAAAGTGTCCATTTGGTGATTAGTCATAAATCAATTAGCAGAGCTTGATGAATATTAGCTTCCGTTATGGAATTATTATTATAAATTTCAATTTGGAAATTAATCGATAGTATCATATAATTACCACGAAATCTAATCAACACCCCCTAGAATCGAACAAATGCACGAACCACCAATTAAAATATACCATTTGCACCCTCGATTAAACAAATCAGCGTCATAAATGCCCTTCGAGGATCAACATTACCGACAATTGAATAATCCCACCCTACGAGCACCGAGAAAAAGTCACCCTCGACATCCTGTTTGGGACATATGGATCTTGATGAAGCTTTAACATCAGCTGCAACACCCCCGAGCAAAAGATCGTGTATCTTCCTTTGGTGGTAAGTAAAAGCGCAGAGAGGGAGGGCATAAAAGGGAAGAAAGAGCAGGGGTAGTCGTTGTCAAACGGCAATTTCGGGCTGTTCGCAGCAGGGGATACCGGATGATAACGTGCGGTAGGGCAGTTTCGTCGAGGACGACGATTATCAGCCTTAAGCGTCCCCGGGGGACACTTTTGGCTAGAGGATCTTGAAAGCTGAATTCTTGGCACTCGCTACCAGGAGGGTGAATTTATTCTGTTTATTAAAGTGCCCAGCCGTAACCGACCCTTAAACGATCACTTCGATGGTAATTAGTGAAATTATCAAATCAATGAAAATGATCGGTTTCAGGTCATTTATTTGAAACGAAATATCTGTTTGATATTTTCGCTGTTACCGATGCACACGTTGCAACAATATCGACAATAATTCACTCAATGGTTAACACCCCGCTCTCCTGATACCTTTAGATAACAAAGTTAATCGATCTTGATTTCGTGCATTTTTGAGCGACGCGAACGATAAGCATCGCGATAAAAGTGTCAGCTGACGTCAAAATATCTTCAGATATCGGTATCAATTCTTTTACGCGGTGAAAGAAATAATTCGATATTATTCGACAAAGCTGAAAAACGTTACGATAAATTCTAGTTCCTTCTATAAACGTCAATTACCGTCAGTTATTTTAGAGATACGTTTCCACTTATTAGGTGATCGGAGAAGGAAACAGAGGAAGAGTACTGCGAAACAAGATGAACATCAAAGATCTATCAGTTCAATAACGAGCGACACGTTTCGAGGAACCGGCAACCATTCGATTTCCGGTGTACAGACTTTTTCTCGGTACCGAATGGCATCAGAAATGGCTTAGCGTTGGCACGGGATTCGAGAAGGCATTCCTTGGCAACCTTCGTGCCTCAAAATTACTCGAAGAATTCTCGATCGATCGACTATGCGATAGTTGGGATCGTTCGATGTTGATCGAAAAGAGTATTCGAAGTTCGAGAGGCTACGTTTTCACTCCGCGAATAGAAAACGCGGAAAAATAGATGGCCATTTTATAAAATTAAATTATTGCAATTTGGCAAATAATATCAAATACAATTTCAATAAATCCAACGCGCCACAATAACAGCAATAAAACGGGAAAGGAAATATCAGGAAACATATCACATAGTTGAAATCGTTATTGCTACTGATACAAAATCTCGAACAAGCAAATTTGAATCCCGCTCTTCAATCACGTCGACGCTTTATCAATTGTTCCATTTTTATCGCACATTTTTCACAATTTTATTTCCCTTCGTTCCTCGATAATAATTCATATCCAATCTATTGAACTTGTTACCGCGAGAAAAAAAATAGGAAAACAAAGAAAGAGAAGAACAAAAGCAAACATCGAATCCTGCTAGGAAATTGATTTTTTATCATCGAACCACGCCGACTAGCACAGCCGGCGCCGATTTGTCTTTCACTTTTTTTTTTCCTCCGCATCTTGCCACGATAATGGGCGGGTCACGTTAAGATGCATCGCGATCCAGAACAATGGGAACTGCACTCCATCGTCGCGTTAATATTGCCATTGTTTGCGGACGTAGACGATGCACATCGATGCAACGGCTCTCGACAGCCTTTGACGCGCGTGAATAGGCCTCCTAGGTGCACCGGAACCGCTTTGTCGCGTCAATTATTCCACTTCGAGCCCTTATACCGATCTGCCTACCATTTTTCTCCCGCGAAACATTCGCTAACCGTCCAACCGTTTGCTAATCGTTCACGAGAAGCGTGATTTAACAGCTAAATTTCACCTTCTCCGAGTTTCGATACAACGAAAAAGGATTAACGTGCCAGCGTAACGAACCATTTCGCTTGAGGTATTATACCAACGGAATTGATAGACACGAAAATTCTTGCACCGTTATCAAATCACACGGCAATTTAATCCTCGCTATGGAACGTGTCACATTGCGAACCCATAGTCGATCGATCGTTAACGAACTACGCTACTCGATACGCAAGTAGTAGCAAGGTGTGTGTAACCGCACAGGAGACACGCCACTTCGTAATTCCCAGTCCAAGTGGTTAATATGCAAATCGCGAACTGACCATCGTTCGCCGCTAGCATAGATACTTGCGGTCGTTTAATCCAGGCCGAAGACGGCCCGCGTGTAAAGGGATTCAAGGAAATCCGCCTTCATAAACGCGTTTCAAAGCCAGCCTTTAAATGTATTCGTCTGGCAAATAAGCCGAATCCTTATTAGTAACCGATCCCGTGGACAAATTGGGGACTCTCGAGGGGTCGTGCTACGAGGGTTGATTACAAATATAGGGGATGTTTATTTCAATCGATTCTTTTCCGGTGTCCGATAAAGGGCGAGAACACAGCTGTTAATAGTGTTAAGGAATTAGAAGTGTGATTACTATAGGGTTAGTAGAAGAGGGGAAAATTGATGAAAATTTAAATTTCTCGGTTCCTTCTCAATCGCGAAAGTACAAAACTACGTTCGTTGTTTCCTCTCAACGCAAACAACAATGTCGAAACAAGGGAAAATCGAATCCAGCTACAATGGTACCCTCGGTTCGAGAAAAGAGGAATTTCCTCCTAAAGAAGTTACCAACTATCGAACAAACTTTGCAATTCCATTTGCGTTCGAACACGGCCACGTGTACCCCTATTCATTCTAAGATCAACGAGCAAGCGCAGCTGTCGGTCCGAATAAACGATCATTCGTAATTCTTTTGTCTAGAAGAGGCTGCTGCTGCTGCACTTTAGACCCGAGTGCGTCTCACGGTAAGAAAAGAAAAATGAAAATACACCTGTGTCATATCTTGGCTGGCAACCGCAGGAATGTGTTTAGGGGTTCAAGTTGACAACCAGTGGCCAGGTAATTGGGGGATGGAAAACACTGTGGCGTTTCCATGACGACACCTCCAGCATCCCTTACTCTCCAGCCCTTTGTACACAGCTACAGCCATGCCCGGGGCAACGTGCCCTAACCGTAGCCACCCTTCTTCTGCTTTATCTACACGCTTTTCCACTCGTTTTCGTACCACTGTTAATACCTTGACCAACGAAAACGTCTGCAGGCTGTTATTTAATTACGCGTCTTCCCGTCTGATCACGTTACAGCATCCCTTCATTATCGAGTTACGTATTAATCAATTTCCGTCCCGTAAAGTATTAATCAAGCATAGAGACGGTGACATCGCGTTCCATCGTGCCAATTCAACAGAACGAACGACCAGTCTCGTCGGTACGTCGACCGATTACAGAAGCACTCGGCGCGGTTCAAGATCCCTCGAACAATAACGCTTATCGTCCATTGTTACAGCAGGCATGCCTGTTGCGTCAAAGCAACGACAACGGTCCAACGGCCCTTATGGTTGGCCGAACGACGACATATTACCGCGGTTCCGCTGA